TATATATATATATATATATATATATATATATATATATATATATATATATATATATATATTACTATTTTACAATGTTATCGATTTCAGAGCATGTCAGGAGAACTTGGAGAAAAATACAAAATCTTGAAGGAATCTCTGTTTTTTCATCTTTCTTGTTTACGTTTTTTGACATTTGCAGACTTGTATCAGTGATAAGAGTATGCAATCCAGTGCTTTGCAATTATATGCATATTGCTCCCAGTTACTGGCACTAATACCGCTGTCTTTAAAACTGTTCTGTGGATAGCATTATTTATTTAGTCTTTAATGAATATTTTGTTGGATCCAATCGATAATGCTACGGCGTGTGACAATTTTAAAGACTGCGAGATTAATACCAGTAATTGTAAATGAGCGAATCATGAATATTAATTTCAGTTGTAAGAGCTTTTGGTATGAATAAAATCGTGAGATTAAATAAATAGCATCTGCAAATGTATTTTTGGTAAACCAAATGTATCTGTAATTTGTTCATACTTTATATCATGAGGAAGAGATCGATTTATTTAGATGAATTTACTAATTATATATTTTCTGTAGAGATATAGAAAAGATAACATTATTTCGACCTGTGGCAATCAGTATGCGTTCTTCCTTTCGTAATACTCAGCTGCTTGATGTTGGGCTGTAGATGAGGGCTTTGTTATTACATTCCGGTCGATTTTTTCCTTATTGAACTATCGCTGTGTTATTTGCATGCTTGACAAAAATCAATAAATCATGTATAGATAATCGTGCTTGTACCATTTCCCACATGGTCATGCAGTCCATTTCTGTATATATTTTGAACGTAAACTTATGGTATCATTTGAAGATGCAGTGTTCTATTGATACGCTCGATCCAGTTTCATTCATTATAGATTATGTCGGATGCTGGAAACTGGTGCCTAATTGAGTCAGACCCAGGTGTTTTCACTGAATTGGTCCGTGGATTTGGTGTTTCCGGTGTACAAGTTGAAGAACTCTATAGCCTAGATAAGGAGCTATTCAGTGATCTGAAGTAAGTGGATCTTTTGATCCTCTGCTTTTGAATCATTTTACTTGATTGAAATGTTTATCGGTTCATGATTTAGGCCAGTACATGGGCTGATATTCTTATTTAAATGGCGTGCGGGTGAAGAGCCTTGTGGCAGCCTGGTCCTCGATAATAATCGGGTTTTCTTTGCACAACAGGTAATACATTTATTTACTGATGCAGTTTAGTTTTCCCTTTAGCTATTTCATAATTTCTATGGAATGTTCGAATTGAAAGTATATTTCCCCCGTACTTTTTTTCTTTCGGTAAATAAGTTCGGATAGTAATAGTGTCGACTCTATTAATTATTAGTATTAATGACTGGTGTTGGTGAAGCACTCTGTACATTTGTTGAGATGTAAACCATATCACATTGTAGGTGATTCAGAATGCTTGTGCCACACAGGCAATAATAAATTTGTTATTGAATACGAAACCAGAATCAGGTATTGCGCTTGGTCCAATTCTGGAGGAATTCAAAAGTTTCACGCAAAATTTTGACCCTATGGTAAGTATTTGCGTTTAACTATGTGTCATATAATAGAATTAAGTTTAACTATGTCATGTAATAAAAACACATTAGATTTCTGTGATCCAAAATATCTGTATCAAGTTTATGATGAATATCGATATCAAGTTTTTTGCACAGGAACAAAGTTTTCATTTGGAAATAGCGAAATCAAATGTAATGTACTCATTATTACCCTGAACACACGCTGTACAGAAATGCTTTGTGATCCTTATATAGCACAGCGTCTCTGCTGTAGAATTTTCAAAAAAGAAAAAAGAAAGAAAAACTTTTTTTTAATGCTCTGCCATTTCATTCTCAGATGTTAATTTCAGAATTTGAATTTGAAATTTAAAAAACTGTCAATACAAACGTAAAGGGACATGTGTCCTTCTTACTTTGTATTATTATTTGGTAGGATTTTATATGATACATAAACATGAGTGAGAGTGGTGATAATGTGGTTTCAAGGTTGCACTTTTGTGAAGTATTCATTTTCAGAATCGTGGTTTATGTTTAGGCAACAGCGAACCAATTAGAAAAGTCCATAACAGTTTTTCACGACAACATCTTTTTGAATTGGATATCAAAGCTCCGGAAAAGGTTCCTTATTGATTATGCATTTAATATGGAACCAGAAATACAAAAAATAAATAAATAATAGAAATAAAAATGGCCCCTCAATATCTTTGCATCATTGTATTATTTTAGTGACCGTTTCGTAACGGCTGAATTCATTTTCTTTTTTTAGAAGTGTTGAAGTTCCTGTAGTCAGCGATAAGGAGTTTAGTCGTCTACATATTTGATAAAGATTCCAAATATTTCTGTTTAATGGGGATCATATCTGTCTTTGTATTTAGGAAGATAATTATCATTTCATCACTTACATCCCCGTGGATGGTCATATCTATGAACTGGATGGTCTTCGTGAGGCACCGCTAGATTTGGGTGCTATTAGAGAGGGTGAAGATTGGTTGGATGCTGTGCGGCCAATCATTAATGCTAGAATCCGAAAGTAAGTTTTCCTTCATCACTCTGTCATTGAGACGCAGCGTGTGTAATAAAGTCTTCATCTACAAAGTATTTTAAGGTATAGCGCAGGCGAAATTCACTTCAATCTTATGGCTGTTATTTCGGATCGAAAAATGAAATACCAAAAACGATTGACCGAACTCGCAGAGGTAAGTTTCCCTGACTTCTCATTTCATGTGCAGTATTATTAGAACCATGTTTTATTCATTTAAACAGGGTTTGAATAATAACTTCCATGAAACACTTACCTTATTTCAGCGTTGCATAACTCGTACTACTCCTATAGAATTTCATTTATTCTCACATTGTTGAAATATCCGGATATCCCAAATATTTTGTTTTTCAGTTAACAATGGAGACCGATAGTAAAGTGGAAGAAATGAATCACCTTCAGGCATTAATTGCTGCTGAAGAAGAAAAGGAAAAATCATTCAAAGCAGAAAACATTAGACGCCGTCATAATTATATACCTTTTATTGTCGAATTATTAAAGGTATTAGCTAAAGAAGGAAGGCTGGTACCATTGGTACAAGAGGTATTTTTGCATTTTCGTTTACTTTTTAATTTATCTAAAGTTTTTGAAGCGCACTACTTAGAATCTGATAAAGGAAGTATTTCTGTACCACGTTTTTGGATTCAGGGTTTTTTTACTCTTGAATTTGCAGAGTTTTTCAAGCTAAATTTTCTTGTTTAAATTGTTTTTCAGGCGCAGGAAAAAGCAAATCGTAAAGCGACAGAGAAAAAATCAGAAAAACCGAGAGTCAAGATCTAATCAGATGTTTGCAACATACTTTGTATGATAAAACATTTCATCACTTAATTTCTTGCTAGACGAAAAGAAAAAAAACGATAGTTGCAGTGATGTGTCAAATAAAGAATATAACTAGTAGATCTGTGAGTTTAGTTCACCATTTACTCCATACGCTAGTTAGATTTTTCGTTCATTTATATGATGATAATAGTAGTCTCTCTCAGGAAAATCCTTGGATGGTCGGTAGAGAGTCTTTTTCTTTTTTTTTTTTGCATTTAGTATGACATTTGGTCAGGATGTGAATATTCCCACGAGGTGCATTTGCAACAGTATAGACTGATTATGAAGTTTTAAAGTTATTCTTGGAATCACTTGCTCCTCATTGTTGCTAACTTGTCATACGTCGTGCGGTCATCTGTACCAATTGCGCTTTAACATTTGCCGTTTTTTTCCCTAGCGTAATTTGTTGTGGTGCAAATTTCATAAACTTTCCCAATATGAAAAGTCTAGAAAAATTATTTCAACAGTACAAGACTGAAATATTGGATGATTATACAATACTTTCCATTCAATCTCGTCTTATTCGTATAGAGCTTAATAATCAGGTAATAGTACTATAGTAGTGACAAATGAATGAGTGAAAAATAGAAGAGAGGGATAGGGAGCGAGAGAGAGAGAGAGAAGAAATGTACTACTTAGTTATTTCTTATT